CATCACTAACTGAATCTAAAAAAGTGTTGGGAAGAAGACGCGCTAAAATGTGAAAGTGTATGCAAGAGAGGGAGCGACTATTACTATGTTGTCTAGTTGTGTTGGTTGTCCGTCCAATGTCTTGTTACTTGGGAGGATCAAGGGCCCAAGCCCAACAAATTAGTCCAATTGAGAATGTTCAATGGTAATTATTATTGACAAGGGGAATTAAATAACAATTTTAATTGAAGTCATACACACACACACACGCACAAAGAAATCATGCACATTGTCTTTTGGGTTGTGCGAGCTTGATAGCTTGCGCAGTTGTGATTAGAACTTTTTATCTTTCCAGTCCATGGGGTTAAGTAACATTTTTTTTCCTTTATCTAACTGTTAAGATGAATCACTATGCGAACATTGGCAACTTTTGATGAGATCCTTTCATTGTTAATGTTGAGCAGTATTGCCAAGAATTATTTTGAGATGGTTGTAATTGGATAAATTGTTATTGTTGCATTTGAGGGACTCCGTCTTTGATAGATGAGGATTTTATGTGCCCCGATTTGATATTACATTTTTTTTTTTTTTTTGTGTGTCTTGGTTAGCCTCTTAACATTATCTAGAGTCCCCTAAATAAGGAGGATTTTATATGCCACGAGGAAAGTGATGTTTTGATTGAAGAAGTGTTAAAGAGGTCAAAACGTGAAGTTTAACAGGGAAACTTAGCGTCGGGAGCCATTGGAGGCGCCTGAGCTTCCACTTGCTTGCCGTCTACCTGGCGTTCGAGCGACGTACATATCTGGGAAAATATTGTTTCCTTATTTGGCTCATTTTTATCATCTTTCCAACTATAATGTATTATCTTGGGTCGTATATATGCTCTACGAAATCTTGGCTTTCATATGACTTTTTATGAGTCTTAGAAAGTTATACAGTATTGTAAATGCAATATTATTGTATTTTTTTTCCATATTAATAAATTCTCTATTCTTCTGCTAAATTGTTTGTGTGTTCTTCTAGTGTTGTGATTGATACTTAATATTATGCCATATAATCTCATCCTTAATTCCTAGCAAGTGGTATTAGAGCATATATAATTCTCGCTAGTTTGCTAACATATGGTATTAAAGCTTAATGTTTGATTTTTTCGAGATTTTTTGTTCTTGTGATGGAAACCATGATGTGTAGATGGATTTGGAAGACACTTTGTTGAAATTTGACAAGATCCCTCAAATTGGTCGATGGAGGAGAAACAACATAAAGATCGAAAGGCCCTATTACAGTTTCATTTTCATCATTTGAATCAATTTTTCAAAACATTTTGAACGAGAAAATTACAATGCATTATAGTTGAAGTTTGAACGATTATGCATAACTAAGAGTTTAACTAGCAAATTGCACCTGAAGTAATATTTGTGCTCTCACTGTATAACACAATGTACATATCTAGAAAATCAACATACTGCTTTTAAAGAAATTATCTCTAATTTGGATACTTGAGGTTAAGTATCATTAAAAGGATTTGGGTTTGATTTTATTGTATTTATTGCCCGCTTCATATATGTCGTTTAGAGATCCGATATTATATAGTTGTGATACTTTCACCCTTGAAGAATATATGATATTTTGTTTTCAAAGAAGAAGATGAAACATCTTGTTGTATCTGAGGTTCAAGGAGAAAACCTTGTTGATCCTGGTGGTTATGAGAGGATTAGTTTGAAGTCTAACTAGAGAAATGAAATTGTAAATATTGCAAGAAGAAGTGGCACATAAAGAAGGATTGTATAAGTTGTAGAATAAAGAAAAATTTGCTGCAAATCAAAAAGGAGAGCAATTGAATACTTCAGGCGAAATAGATATTTCAAAACATTACTACAGTAATGGAGAACTTGTGGTCATTTCTGTCTGTAACTCCAAACTTAACTAGAATTGGATTCTTGATGTAACTTGCACTTTTCATATGTGTTCCAATGGGATTTGTTTTCAATATATGAAAAAGGTTTTGACAGTTGTTGTGGTTATAGAAAAAATGCACCCTCTAAATAACTAGTATTGGAAGGGTCAGGCTAAAGATATTGATGTGACAGTTAGAATACTTGATAAGGTGAGACACATTCCAGATTTGAAGAAAAATCATATATTGAGTACTCTTGATTCAAAATGGTAGAAGTTCGTTGGTGAAAGTGGAGCTCCGAAGGTCCCAGTTGTATGTCTTGCAAGGTTGTGCAGAATCTTTGAAGTTCAATTGGTAGAGATATGGTACTTTGATGGATATTTAATTTGGTACAACACCGTTGAAGTTTGGTTCGAGGTCCATGTTGAAGGATACAGCTCAGTCGAGTCCAAAAGTTATGGGTAATGCTACTTTGCCACCACCAGCGTTGCCATCATATTCAATTGTAATAGATAGACCCAAAAGAGATATTAGGTTTCCGCAAAAGTACGGCGAAGCTGATTTAGTTGTCTATGCTTTAAGTGTGATTGAAGGTGTTGAGTCTTCCAAAAAATCTACTAGAGAAGCATTTTGTGGTATTGATTTTGTTTCAGGGCGAGTTTCAACCTTGTTTGGTAACTTTTGAATTATTTGTGATTTTGTTGCTCATGGTGATAATTCAAGCAAATTTTAGTACTGAACAGTACTTAGATTCAGTTGATTGGATTTGTCCTATTTGGACTTTGTGGAAGAAGAGGAAAATTTTGTTAGAGAACTTCTTGGAATGAAGAGAACTATTGATTTATTCTTTGCAGCAAAATTTGTTTTTAGATGGAGACTTTTTTAAACTTCGTTCATTGCATTGGAATTTGTATTAAGGTGGATATTTATTTAATATTGCGACCTAAATTCCATTGGAAATTGGTGTTTTTGTTGAAGAAGGTGTTAAAGATATCAAAAAGTGAAATTTAACATGAAACTCAACACATGGGCATCGTTGGAGGGGCTTGAGCTGCCGCTCACTTGTCGTCCACCTGTCTCTTGAGCAGCATTGCGGCACGCGCTCGCTTCCCGCGATGCCGTCGATTGAGCTGCGTATATATCTGAAAAAAATATTGTTTTCTTATTTTTGGTTATTTTTTTTTTAATCATATTTCCAACTATAAAGTATTCTCTTTGGTCTTATATATACTCTAAAAAATTCTTGACTTTCATATGACTTTGTAAGAGTCTTAGGGACTTAGACAATTAATATTTTTAGCACAATATTATTGTATTTTTCTCCATATTAATAAATTATCTATTCTTCTGCCAAATTTTTCTTGTATTGTTTTAATGTTGTGATTGTTACTTCATATTATACCATATAATAACGTCCTTAATTCTTTACAAGTATTATCAGAGCATGCATATTTCTTGCTAGTTTGCTAACAAAATCAATGGTCATAATATTTAGGGAGACGTTACAATTAC